CAAAACACATTAACTCCAAATCAAAACGCGCGACAAATTCTATTTGGTTTGAACCTTTTTACTTCGGTGGCCCGTAGCCGCGTTTTTCGCAGCGACACTCGCCCGTGCGAATATCTGTGAAAAGGTCTGCTAAATTTCTGATCATTTTGTTTTTATATCGCGAGTAATCCAACGCCCGTAATTAACACTCCCAACGATTTACCAGAAATAAGCAAACTCATAATTTTTTAGCCTCGCTGTTTTTACATATTTATCTTAGAATCGATTGCGTCTTTTAACCAGTGACCTTTTTTAAATCACGTACTAACCCAAATAGGAAGTCCAAAACCAATTATTCATGTAACATTTCAAGATATGTGAAACTTAATTACACCGAAAAAAAAATGTTTGTTAATTTTAATGAAAACTACAACTTCCCAGAAATCTGAATCATCGAGACGCATTTCTACCCGAATATAATTTTGAAATCTACAAAAACTTCAAAAATTTAACAAGCTTCCGTTACAATATGTCTGAATTAAATGTACATTTAGCATAGATCACAAAACTTTACCCTTGTGCATCACTGTGTTGGGCAGTTTCCTCGATGAAATTGTTGAATAAATAAAGATTTGATCCACCAAGTTTTCACTAAAAAGGAAGTATGACAAGAAGAATAAGATCCAGTGCCTGTACATCAAGTCAGCCTCTTTTGCCGTAAAGAAATTGGATGAAATTTTTTTCAAATTTGGATATAATCTCGAAGTGAGTAAGGAAAAATTCTTGCTGCACTAATAGGAGTACTGTTATATCAACGAGTTTTCTAATACTTTCCAGTGCCAAGAGAAAAGCGTCCGTCCGTGGGACGGAAGGGTGGATGGAAAAACACCCGTAACAGTGCGTTTTATTTTTTTGAAAAAATGCGTTAAAGAAATGCGTTTGGTGGAATTCTAAGATTTATCGTTGAACTTTTGTGTTCCTGAAACAAACAAAACTCGAACTGTGATCTCCCAAGTAGGTAATGAGATTATTTGCATCGAGAGGATTACCGTCAAAAAAATTTGAAAAAGTGAAGAATCTATTTTTCGTCTTGAAATTACTAGTATTATTAGTTTTCACTCTGTAGATAAACACCCGGTAACTAAAAGTTGGGGTTTTCGGTACGGACATTGTCGCTACTAAAATATTGATTTCTGTGTAGGAATTGGAAATATAAAGTAGAAATTAGTGGGTTAATGTGTAGAACCGCCAGTATATAAGATAAGAGGCCGTATGTAATTTACCGTCTGCAATCGTTCCCATAGGAATTTTTAAATTGTTTTTACAGCCCCCGAAAGCACTCATTCCAGAGAGAGAATCAATCTTAGATCTGTTACTTACACATTAATCGATTTTAGTTTTAGTATTTCTTTAGTCAACTTGAAGGTTGTAGTAGGTGGCGGCAGAGGTGCATTGCTGAACACCTAGATACAGAGAGGAAGGGGTGGTAGCGCCCAATAAATTTATTTGTGTATTTTATTCTGTCTCGGCTATTAGGCAAGTTGGCGTTGCAATCTGCTTGATAGGATTCTCAACGAGTTCTAACACTAAAGAAGGATATTATGTAACTAAAGCTTGAATTTAGAAGGGATAGCCTCATTTCACATCATTGTTGCTTAATCCATCGGCGTCCGTGAAGTTGGAGTGTCGACTTGAAAGGAATTAAGTTCCAAGTATCTCATAATTTTGTACTCATTTTGTGCTAATTTGTGCTGCCAATTTAAAATTTTGTGCTCATCAGGTTAATGAGTAATTCAACTTTCTCTGATGACACTACAACTTCACGCTTGAGTGTCAACATCGATATTTTCAAAATTTTCTTTTACTATAATTTTGTGCTCATTTTGTGCTAATTTGTGCTGCTAATTTAAAATTTTGTGCTCATCAGGTTAATGAGTAATTCAAATTTTTCTGAAGATACTCACTGTAGTGTCAGTTAGTTGGATATTGCCATCGCCGTTTTTTTGGAAAAAATTTCATCAAATGTCGACATTTTAGATCATTTTAAGCAACTTCTAAATAATAAAATTTTTCTGCCTGTGGGTACGTACCGTACGTACTATGTACAGTGTGGTCCAATTTCGATGGGATTAAATGGGTAATTTTCTTATTAGCGCAGATAAACGAAAACGGTTTTAGTACTCGTGTCCTTATTTTTTATGCTTATTCCATTACCTTTGCCGGAAATAAGCTGCCGTCTTTTGTTTTTTCACTAGAGAGAAAAAGTGAAAAATGTTGAAGCTAGAACAAAATGGCTTTAGCATTATTCAAGCAGTTTTTAATGTAGATAACCAATGTCGTCAGTCGTTTGTTTCTAGACCTTTTAATAACCAACTTTTTATTTATTTATTATTGTCTTTATTTTATAGTGGGCGGAGTGTTAGCTAATTAGCTACTCTTTCCACAAAAAAACTTTTGTTATTATCTTTCAGGCAAGATGTATTAATAAGCAAAATTTATTGTAAAAAGCTTATTCTTGAAAATAAGTATGATAAATAAGTATGATGTATTATACATTTTAGGAAAGCTCGTAAAGCAATAAATTTTTTTTAAACCATGGTAAATTGTAACTTCAATTTAAAAAAATCAACTTTGAGTTACAACGCAGTTACTAAAAGAATTAGAAACAAACAAATCGTACAAAAGAAATAGGGCTGAATTTGTGTTTATCAACTTTAATCCGAATTATAATGGAATTTTGTGATAAAATGGTTACCCAATTTTCGTGTATAATTAGTCGTAATGACAATTATCAGGCTGAAGAACGGAATGAAGCCTGTGAATGCGGTATCTGTTTGCACAGCTTGCAATCTGTTTTATTTTAATAGATTTACTATTCTTAAATGTTTTCTATTTTTTTAATGGTAGAGCCTAGATTTTAGCGCATTTTTAAACTTATGTTGGAAGGCGCAATTATGACCACTTTCTCCGTCCGTCCATGCGAAGGCGCCACTGCTCCTACAGTTTTCAATATATTTAGTTCGTTCTTCTTGAATTCGGTAGCTCTGTTACCTCATGACGATAAATGTGCGCATGCGCAATATCAATTTTCTTATTTATTAATATATTTTGCTGAAATGTTCACCACCTTTATAGTAAAGGCAAACATATCGCATATAGTAAAAATCAGGTGTGCGCATGCGCAGACTGCACAATGCCCGCACCTTTTTTTATAGATATTTTTTGGAAAATTTAACCACATTCTAGTAAAGGCAAACGTCCCATATTAGATATGCGCATGCGCAAACCGCCCAATACTAACTTCTTTATTTTTAATTATAGATGCTTCTAATAACGAAAAACATAGGTCACATAACAATGGACTATGGAAGTCCCGAATAATGCATGAAAAATGCTCGCAATTTACTCGCCTTAGGCCCAAACCTCTTTACTTTTAACTTTTATGTCCACAGTAAGGTGCCTTTTGCGGCTTCGCTCTCTTTTTTTTATTACTCTCCCTTGAGCTACATCCAGGGGTGTATTTCCCACAAGGCGGACTAGTTGCGCGCCTAGAGCGGCAAATTCTAGGGGCGGTAAATTTTGAAGGAAACATTTTGAGTATTCACCAGTTTTGGTTTTGTTTAGCAAGAAGCATGAAGCGTAGAGACCACAAATTTAAATATCTGATTGTTTGTTGATGAGCGGTAAATACGGCAACCAGGAATAAAACAAGGAAAGGAGTATGTAGCGTTCTTTTCTTACCAATTGATATTCCAAATTTATATTCCTTATATACTTCGAATTTTACTCGTTGATTGTTGAGTGAGAAATAGCAAAGAGGCGCAACTATAATGTAAAATTGCGATACATATTCCCGAAGCTTCCCGTGCCCACAGTCCACAGTGGGAGGGGTGTGAGTGTGTTAGACGTGCGACTCTGATGCTTAAAGGCCACCCAACAACACAAACCGATTGAAAACCAATGAAAGAGCGTTGGACTATAATTCCGGAGGTCGGGTGTTCGAACCTGGATTGAGGTGAATTTTTCATCTGTGGCAGATACCTTAGACCAGTTGCGAGCATTCTGCCGGCTACTCTGAATGACGTTTTCCTGCAGTTTTCCTAATTCGTAAGGTAAATACCGGAGTAGTATAAAACAACTTAATACCTTCTCTGCAGAGGCACCTCTAAAAAGCGCTATGCGGGTCACTCTGTAATTGGGCGTAAGCCTGTTGAGGGCCCAGAACAAGAGAGGAATAGTAAATAAATAAATAAACGCTGCTACATCTGCGGAAATCGATTATTCTTTACCAAATTGCCGATGTACTGAAGCATCTTGCAATAAGCCTCATCTAAATTAATCGAGTTGCACCTCTCTTTATATTTCTCACCCCATCTAGGTATTCCCTCTGTAAACCCGTTTAGTTTAGATGCCAGTCATTTCTATAGTATATTTGTTATTACCATAGTTCTTTGGTTCGCCACTAGAGGTCGTGATCTTCTTTTTTTTCTACATACGCATGTCCTATACTTCTTCCTTTCAGAGACGATCTGGATCTGGGTTAATTGCGTGCAAATTTTTCTCGATACGCCATTACTTTTTACTTGACTTTGTGTCAATCTGTTTTGGCTGTGAACATATTTCTATTGAGTGTTTTTTCTCTATTTCTGATGTGCTGTGGCTGTGCTCCATTGAATACGCTTTGCAAGTAATTAGTGTGAGGTATGTACTTCAGCATTTTTCTTAATACGTTTTTTAGGGTTTTATCTTCCCTCAAGGTTCGCTCAAACTTCTCTCTTAACTTCTTATCATTTTCTCTTCTGGACTAGTAAATATGGCGCGCGAGTAGTTGTTTGTGAAGTGTGTACGTCGTAAAATTTGTGTGATAAGGCCTGTATCCAGTTTATATTTAATTAATTAAAGTGTTTTGAACTTCAAATTTGGGATCTACTCTCAACAGAGAAGGGTGCAAGCAGTTTCAAAAGGCCTAAAATTAAAATTAATCTAACTCGAAACACGGCGTAAACAGTTCATACGCAGATATGGCGTACGCAACTTGTTCTCAAGGTGAGAGGTTAGAAATGGCAAGTAAAAACCCAGGTGACCCATCCAATTCCGATATAATGAACTTACTTAAAGACTTTATCCAAAAACAACAAGTGAGAGAAGATGATTTAAATAAATCAATTAACTACTGTCATGAGAAACTAGACGCCAACAGTGATGAATTAAACAAAATTAACCTACGTCTTAACGCTTACTCCGATTCGCTTGAGCAGCTCAAAAATGAAAACTGTAATTTGCGCAAAAATCTTTCCTCTTGCGTTTTTGAGATAGATAAGCTAGAACAATACACACGGCGCAACACTATCGAGATACATGGTGTACCCCTCGTTAAAGGAGAAGACGTCTATGGATTAGTACAGCAAATAGGGACAGCCCTATCCATGCATATTCCTAAGAATGCTATCGACATCTGTCACAGACTCCCCACTAGATCGTCTAACACGTCCCAGCCGATAATTTGCAAATTTGTGAACCGATACACCAAAGATGACTTAATAATCAAACGCAAGGTAATGCGGAATTTATCAGCTATAGATATTGGATTCACCGTTGCTGATGTAATATACATCAACGAAAATCTTACTCCGAAACGTCGTCAACTTCTGTATAAAATGCGACAGTTACAAAAAGATCTAAAATTTAAGTTTCTGTGGACTAAAAACGGAAACATTTATGCGAGAAAGGACGAAAAGTGCCCAGTTGCGGAAATCACGTCGGATAGTGACATCGCTCGCGTTAAATCTGGTGCGCTTTAAAAATGGACTACGATCGTGTTTACTCTTCTGTTGTTTTTGTCTGTAGAATAAGTATTAATATTGTAATATTAGAGTTTTTTTTTTATTTTTATTTTATATAGGTATCCAACCAACATTTAATGCACATTGAAATCTTGCTTTATTTTATGTATCAATATTTCAATTGTTATGCACATTATTCTGTTTGTAACATTACTGATCTGATTCTTGTTCTGTTTATTATATTGGGTATATTGATTTGATATTGATTTGATATGACTCGATGTTTAGATATTGCTCATTTAAATACAAGATCACTAATGGCAAATTTTTCAGATCTGAAGGAGATGCTAATTTTTAAAAAATATGATGTTCTTGCTGTGACAGAAACGTGGTTGACATCCCGAATATCCACAATTGCCGTCGATATTCCTGGTTACACCTTTGTACGTTCTGATCGTGTGTGTGAGAAACGAGGTGGAGGGGTAGGTATGTACATAAGAAAGGGGATAACATTTTCAATTGTAGAATCAGTATCTAGTAACTTACATATTGCCCTTGAGCAACTTTGGATTGTATTAAAGTTACATAATTTCACACTGGTCACGGGAGTGATATACAGAAGGCAGGAATGTGCGTGCGCTGGATTTTTTGAGGCCTTGGAGGAGTCCCTCTCGCTTTTAATGACCCACGGTAACCATATACTCTATACAGGAGATTTCAATATTGATTATCTGAAGAGTACTGACTCACAAACTTTGCAAATGTTGTCGTTATTCCATATTTTTGATCACAAACAGATAATTAATGAACCTACACGTGTAATGCAAAAGAGCAGTACACTAATTGACTATATTGTGATCTCCTCAGACATTAAAGTAAGTAGATGGGGCACTTTAAGCATGCATAATTACTCTGACCATCATTTAGTTTACTGCACACTTCTTATAAATGATTCTAAAATTGATAAGCCTTTCTACTATACCTATCGAAACTTTCGGAATTTTAATTTGACTGAGTTTGACAACGATCTTAAATTTATCGATTGGGAATGTGCATACACTCTGCCTAATATTAACGATAAGGTAGACTTTTTAAACGATAATATATTAGCTCTATTCGATAAGCATGCTGAATGTAGAAGTATAAAAATTACTAAGCCCCCGGCACCTTGGCTGACAGACAACATTAAACTAATGATATCCCTTCGAAACAAAGCTTTAACGAAATTTAAAAGGACAAAAAACCCCGCTCATTGGAGTTATTATAAACAGCTACGCAATTTCACCACTAATGCAATCCGATTGGGTAAAAAAGCGTACCTCGAGTACGAGCTGCAACAAGGACACGACACTCCCAAGGCTATGTGGAAAAAATTAAAGCAACTTGGCATCAGTTCCTCACACAAACGTGAACTTCCCAATGAACTTCGGGATGCAAATAAAATTAATGATTTTTTTATAAATTTAGCTGAGACGGTTACATCTGATGAAAACGCACTTATTCAATATTATACAAGTAATGCTTTCAGAACATCATCCACTCAATTTAATTTTAGTCTCGTTACTGAAGTAGATGTTTTAAAAACGTTCTTAAATCTTAAGAGTAATTCCGTCGGATGGGATGGTATTAGTCTGTGTATGTGGAAGTTATACTTACCTTACTTGGCTCCCATTATTACGCATATTGTGAATTCCTGTTTAGTTGATGGCATTTTTCCTAATTGCTGGAAAGTCGCCAAAGTTATACCATTAGCCAAGATAAACGATCCTAGAGAATTTAAAGACATCCGTCCAATAAGCATCTTACCTTGCCTGTCCAAGGTAGTAGAAAAGATTATGGCGTCTCAAATAAGAACTTATTTGGACTATGAAAATATACTTCCACGAATGCAGTCTGGTTTCAGGCCCGGATATAGTTGCAATACCGCCCTTGCGTATATTACTGATGCCATTATGAGAGCCATTGATAACAACAACCTGGCTGTACTTGTTCTTTTGGATTACTCAAAAGCTTTTGACAGGATTTCACACAATATACTTATAGCTATTTTAAAGCACATAGGTTTTAGTGGCAGCGCATCTAGTTTAATTAATAACTATATATCGGGCCGAAGTCAATATGTTATGCTGGATGGCGATGCCTCTGACACCCGTCCGGTGGTACTTGGTGTCCCTCAGGGATCTATTCTAGGGCCTCTTCTATACATTATCTACACCTTGGATATGGTGAGTGTACTGCAACACTGTGGGTATCACCTATATGCTGACGACACGCAATTATTTTACGAATTTCCGGCACACGCATTAGAAAAGGCATGTACCAATGTGAATGCAGATCTAGAAAATTTGATAGTTGTTTCGGAGAGGCACGGGCTAAAAATAAATTCGCACAAAAGCTTCGTGATGTTGTTTGGTAGAACTAAAGCACGTAACGTGAATGCGCCACAGCTTAATGTAAAAATTGGGGAGTCGCTCCTTCCGAATGTTGATAGCGTCAAAAACCTGGGCTTGACAATTGACAGTACATTACGATTTAAGAAGCATGTGTCGGAACTTTTACGCATAGCATACTTAAAGTTAAAAACTATATTTAACAATAGGCATGTTTTAAACCGTAAACTTAAGATTATGCTATGCGAATCTCTAGTTTTGTCTCAATTTACTTACTGCGACAATGTATATGGCCCATGTTTGGATGCCTTTGACGTCGGAAGAGTTCAGCGTGTGCAAAATTCCTGTCTTCGGCTAATATTTGGCCTGAGAAAATACAATAGAATATCGCATAAATTGGTCGAAATTAAGTGGCTCAATATGTCCAATCGTAGAAAGCTAAACCACGCATGTTTTATTCATAAAATTATTTCCAATAAATTTCCTCCCTATCTGTACGAAAAAATTCAATTTAGACATAATTTACATAATCTTAATACTAGAACAAAGCACCTTATATCAATTCCTAAACATCAAACTGTCCTTTATCAAAGGTCTTTTAGCTACAATGTCCCGAAAATCTACAACTCCCTTTCCTGTCATTTACACTCCTGTTCCCAAAAACGCTTCAGAGAAAACCTTAGATTAAAACTTCTTGAGCAGCAACAAACACACTTGAGATAATATGTTTAATTTTATTTTTTATTTTCAGTTTCGGTATTTTCAGTTTTATTCTGTGTTAAAAAAAAAAAAATATTATCACTGTCATTTTTTTTTTCTTTCCATATTCGGATAAGTACATTCACTAGGTTCTATGTTGAATAATTATTTGCCATTATCTGACTTAGCACAATAAATTATTAAAAGGGTTAAGTGGTAGAACAGATTGTAGTTTGTACTACATATCTGAACTTCGCCCTTTTGGTATAACGTATAATAAAATGAGTTTAATATTCACTAGAATTATGTATTGTTTCTCTGTACGTTAGCCAATAAATGACTATTATTATTATTATTATTATTATTAAAATCTGAGGCACTCGTACTAATTTAAATTCGTTGAAGCCGTGCGTGATAACTGATAAGTATCATCGGAGCGGCGGGAACACTGGTTCATTAGACTCTCATATCCAGGATAAAATATTTCGTAGCATTCAGGTTCATTTGCAGAAAATATCCGAATTTTCTCACTCAATTTGTTTTTGAGTTTATTTTTTATTATTCCTTTGTTATTAAGTGAGGCATGCAAATTTACTATTTCTATTCGTTCGATGAAAGAGTTCTGTCCGTGTAGGGTCGAGAAAGAATAATCCCATCGAGGACAGTGTGTGTTGTAAGAGGCGACTAAATAACTGCACAGGTCTGCAGAAAGACGAATAATTGGGAATTCTGGAATGTATGGTTAATTTTTCTGAATGTTGACCATTATGTTAGGTATGCAAGTGCTAAACATTAGTGGGGGTAGTCTAAGTTGGTAGCTTCTATGGCCAGCGTTAAGATTTTTATGTTCTCTCAGGTGTTTCAGGATTGGCATCCTTTGAACAGTTTAAGTTGGTAACGTTCTTATGACCCTCCTTCTTTCTGATAGCGCCATTCTCACTTTATCGTGAAGGTGTGAGAGTGAACTGACTATGATTTTTGGGTGTGGAGGGTAAGATGCTTTGGCTTTGTTTGCGAGGGTTTCGTTGGCCCGATTTTTAGCCGTTGTTAAGTATTGAAACTCCAGCCGTTTTTTTTCGAAAGTACATGCCCGCTGTGTGTTATGGTAATCCATATGTTCCCATAGTCTGAGAATGATTTACGATCTGCAAGCACTTTGTCAGTGGATCAGCAACCAACTTGCAATGAAATAATTTTCTACAGTGGAAGTGTTCGACCGTTTAAATCTAGAGAGAACTAACCTAAACGTCACATTGGAAATTTTCTTGCCAATCCGCCAACTCTAGAAAAATTGGCACACTTTTCCTTTTAATAAGTTTTTCATTGGTTTTCTCAAAAATTGGGAATGATTGATACCTTCTACATCTCACAACTTAATCTTCCTATATGGTCACTGCACGGTTGGTGGCCTTTAAAAATCTGTAATTGTAGCAAGAGGGGATACCATTTTCAAATAAAATTGCAATTCTACAAATGGGCACGCTCTAATGTTTATTTATGTTTACAGAACCTAATTTTCAGTGTGAGATTTGGAAACGGTGAATTGTAAATGAAAACAGAGTTAATTAAAAGTCACATTTTATGGACGTAATTAGGCTACCAGTCGACATTCCTTTATTACAGGGTAGAAGACAATTAAAGGCGAAGGAAAGTGAAAATAAATTTCACGTTCGCTGAAAAATACGGAAGACCATACAGTGCTTACTTATAATTCTATTATGACGGAAGTTATAGTGATTGTGTTCACAAACTTAATACACGAGCCTTAATGTTTTATAAATGCCAATTATTTTGAAACATCATACTAAAAGTAAAAGAAATTTTAGCAAAAGCAGACGTGTAATCTCTGCCTGTACTAAAGTTACAAAATGCAATTTCCTTGACATTTTATGAGTTAAAGTATATTGTGCCGCGTTTGAAGGTAATTGA